CCCACCCCAGGCAGGCTGAGGGAGCTGCAGTCACCTTGGACCTGGGAGGGTCCCTTGTCTCTAGGATGCTCTCTTAGGTGGATTCTGTGCTCTGCGTGGAAATCAGGCAAGGTCCCTCCTTCGTGTCTTGAGACACAGGGACTCAGCCCAAGCTCCCCACCTGGCTGAAAGGTCCCGTACCCCTCATTAAGCCCTCCTCCATCCACGGTGCAACTGCTGGTTCCACCACACTTGTAACAGGGCCTTTGACCAAGTTCTTCCCTCTGCCTGTGGGGCACAGTTGGGCAGCCTGGTGATGACCTGTGACAGCCAGGAAGTTGCTGCCCAAGTTTAGACTCCTGGAGATCTCCACTCAGACCTGGGCTTCCATGTCACAGCAGTTGGGCCTGGGTGGGGGCTATTGCAGCCTTTGGGGGCCTTGGCACTAGCAATGCTGTGCAAGGAAGGGTAGGCACCGTGTGTATGAGTGAGGCCCCATAACCTGGTACCTCCCTGTCACAGGAGACGCAGGTACCAGCACTGCTGGAGTCAGGCTTCCGGCGGGAGAACATCCACACGCAAGTGATGGAGCTGGTCCCGCCTGCTGACTGCCGCTACTATGCCTTCCCACAGATGATCACACCCCTGGTCACCAAGCACTAAGTTTGGCAGCCACAAACTCAACCACCTATGCCACACCCCCACTCCCAGTGCCTTTGGGGCGGGGAGCTCAGGCTCTGGCCTCATAGCCCAAGTTCTAGTTGAGGCAGCACCAGCTGTGTGACCATGGCCACCTTCCCTAACCTTGCCAGGGGACCAGTACCAGCCTCCTTCTGGGGTCATAGGGATGAAAATGAATGCTAACACTGGGCTAGGTAATCACCAGCACAACGTAAAAGTATACTTTCACTTACCCCTCCCAATCCTCCAAAAAGAAAAAAGAGATTTGTTGCCTGGCTGGTATGGCTCATTTGGTTGAGTGTTGTCCCATACACCAAGAGGTCACCAATTCCATTTGATTCCTGGTCAGGACATGTACCTGGGGTTGTGGGCTTGAACCCCAGTATGGGGCATGCAGGAGGCAACCGATTGATGTTTCTCTCTCATTGATGTTTCTATCTCTCCTTCTCCCTTCCTCTCTCTAAAACCAATAAAAACATATTTTAAAAAAAGAAAGAAATCTGTTAATGGACCTTCAGGGAGCCAGTGGGCAAGCTATATGCTCCATTGTGTACAAGCCTGTGAACCCTATCTTGCCCAAGGGAGATACTGCCAATCAATCATCTATGGCCCTTTCCCCCAGCTAGCCAGGGCAGCTGCATCTCCCTTCCCTGTGGCTGGCAGTTGGGGTCCAGGGGGTGCAGAACTAGGTCAGGACAGCAAGGAGGGTAGCAGCTCAAGGCCCAGTCCTTAGGCTACTGAAGAGGGTTTCTGGTCCCACCAAGTCAGGCTGAACCTCAAAATAAAGCAAAATCTTTACACCGGGACTCTCACAGGACCCTCAGCTACCTGAGAAGTGCAGTGTCACTTGCTGAGGTCTGACTCTCCAACTGTCTTCTTTCCTCTGTCAGTGCCCCCTTCAGTCTCAGTGCAGGGGCAGCCCAGTCCTCACCTGGCTCCATAAATGCTCTGGCTCTCCTTCATGGTGGGGCATGGAGACCAAGTGCAGGGCCCCTAAGAGGGGCTGGTGTGGACTGAGCCATCTGCCTCCAGGGCCTCAGCATCTCTAAGGACTGACCTAGCCCAAGGGAGCACTCGCCCACCCACACCAAGCACAGGGGGTACTCTGCCCTGTAGGCACCTCCCTATCTCCCAGGGCCCCCTGTCCATACATTGAGGGCAGGTTTTTGTCCAGGTAGGTTTCTCAAATTTATTGACCATCTCTCAGGATGACAAAGGGGACACAGGGTGGCAGTCGGGCGGCACTACCTTCGGTACCAGATCTTGAGTCTCTTCTCCCGCTTGATCTTCTTCTGCAGCTGCAGGATGCCATAGAGCAGGGCCTCGGCTGTAGGTGGGCAGCCTGGGAAGCGGGACCTTGCCTCAGTGTCTGCCCATGGGGAGGGGCACCACCCCTCCCCCTTATGGCCAGGCAAAGGGCACATGAACTAGAAGGAAGGTCAAAGGGCCTGGCTGGGGGCAGCAACTAGCAGGAAAGGCCTGGGCCACTCAGGGCCTTAGGAAAAGTGATCTGGGAGTTGCAGGTGGGCTAAGGGCTGGTTGGCCCCTTCCCAAGGTGGGGAGGACTGAGAGAGGCCCCCGCCCCAGTATTCAAAGAATGCACGGGAGGGGCCAGGTAGTTTGGCCCATCACTGGAAGTAGCCAGCAAGGTGGGCAGGGAGGCTCACAGACTGAGAAGGGAACCCCCAGAGAAACAGTCCTCACAGTCCCCATCTCCATAGTCTCAGGTGGAAGAAGCAGAGGGGCACATTGCCACCTGGAGGATTTGCCAGGACCTGACAGGCCAGCCACCATGGGTGGCTGGATAAAGAACTGTCGCAGTCATTTATTTACTTCCACCTGACTCTGGGGTGCTCGGTGCCTGTCGGTCTGATCACAAAGGCCCATTTGATAGATGGGAAAACAGGCTTGGAGAGACTTGCCTGAGGTCATGAGTCAAACAAGCAGTAACTGACCAAGGGTCTGGCTTCTGATCAAGGTTAACAAGCCTGCAGTGTAGACTCCTATACATCTTTCCAAGTCCTACCCATTGTACCCTCTGCCACCCAATAGGTGGGGCTAGGCACATCTGTGTCAGGTTCCATCTTCCCAACCTGGGGGCTCCGCAGGGCTTGGTCTGGTGCCAAGGCCTCTCTGGGGCCCAGTACTGCCCAAGCCAGGCCCAGGCTTGGAAAATGCACTCAATAAATATTTGCAGAATGCTAAACAAATCAATTCCATTTTCCAGTGAACCCTAATCCAAAGTAGAAACCTGTTTCTCTGCCTTTGGGAGGTGCCAGCACATGCCTGGGAGACCACCCCTTTCTGATTGGCCAGGTAAGGAGGTGTGAGAGACCCGTAGGACAGTGAGATAAAATAAAGATTACCCAGTTACATGTAAACTTCAGACAAACTACTGATACCTTTTTTAGTATAATTATATCCCAAATGTTACGGGATATATTTATAATGAAAAAGATATTATTCATTGTTTCTCTGACATTCAAATTTAACTGGGTGCCCTGCATTTTTATTTGCTGAATCTAGACACCCTGGTGATCCTGGGTCCAAGGGGAAGGGGGTGTCTCACCACCCATCATGAGTATAAGACCCCGAGGACACCGTTCATGTCCTCCAGGAACTTTTTTCCTGTTTTTTTAAATTGCATTTATTTGGTTTTGTTTCTATATTAGGTAGAATCATATAAAACTGTAGCTTAAAAATGGCCAAATATAAGCAATTCCATACAGCTCAACCTAACCCTTTTAATGTTGGCCTGGTCCAACATTTAGATGAAATCAGGAGCCCATGCAGGGACAACAAAAAGGAAAGACTTGAGTGTCACCCTTCTTAGACCCAAATCTTCTCATTCTTAAAACAGGGAGAGCCCACTCTGTCTGTAGGAGTATGGGGACTCCTCTGTGGGGACCTGAAGGCCTGGTTGCCCAGAGATGTGGCAGTGGACTTACCTGGGACATAGATGTCCACAGGCACGATGCGGTCACAGCCCCTCACGACGGAGTATGAGTAGTGGTAGTAACCTCCTCCATTGGCGCAGCTGGAGTGAAAGGAGTGCTTTGAGGGCCTCACTGGCCACCCTGGCCTTGCTCTTTCCTCAGTGCCCTGCCCCTAACCCACACCCACCTTCAACTACAGCAAGTGACTAGACTGCCAAAAAGGGCAAGAATGGGATATGAAGTCACAGGAAAGATAATAGTCACTTGAGACCAGGTAGAGCAGAAGCTAAGGGATAGACACTGAAAACATAATGGTCAGTGAGAAGCCTGGCAGAAAAGGTCACAGTGTGTGATTCTATTTATGTGAAACGTCCAGAACAGGCACAGGACAGGATTGAGTTCATGGTTGCCAGGGGCTCGGAAAGAAGGTAGGGAGTGATTGCTGATGGGGGGATGGGACTTATTGTTGGTATAATGGAATGATCTGGAACTAGACAGATGGGATGGTTTTACACATTGTGAATGCATTAAAGCCCACTGAATTGCACACTTTAAAGGGCGAACTTTCTGCTATGTGAATTCTATCTCAAAAAAAAAAAATAATAATTAAGTGATTTAACAGGTTTTAACAATGTGGGGAAATGACTAAGTTAAAAAGCAAGGAGGATGTAAACTGTCTACAGAGGGGAACATCATTTATGTGTTCATAAAGCAGAGAAACAGACAAATCAGAAGAGCTGTTGAGGTAGAGGAGCAATAATAACGCACAGGAGGGGACATTCTGGGGAGGGGGCAGTGTACACAGCAAAAGTATCAGGGTAACTGTCCTGCTCCCTTGCAGGTGAGGGGTTTTACTGTGTAAATTACACCTCTATGACCTTGATCAGACAGAAGCCCAGATAAAGCACTGGGGGAAAACATGCCAGGGTGTCACAGGTATGTCTTGTCTCTGGCCCCAGCCCCACCTGGAACTCACCTCCCCATGGATACAACATAGCGAGGCTCTGGCATCTGGTCATAGACCTGGAAGACACGACAGGGTTTATGTGCAGCTCAAGCCTGGGTGGCAGATGGGTAGGGTCAGGGCCGGGCCTACCTTGCGGAGAGCAGGGGCCATCTTGTTGGTGAGCGTCCCGGCCACAATCATGACATCTGACTGGCGAGGGCTGGCTCGGAAGACCACACCAAAGCGGTCCATGTCATAGCGGGGTGCTGCCATATGCATCATCTCCACGGCACAGCAGGCCAGGCCAAAGGTCATGGGCCACAGGGAGCTCTGAGGGGGCCAGGTTGGTCAACCCATGAGTGGACAATTGGCCCATTGTGTTTAAAGAAACTGGGCGATTTCACATAGAAAAACCTGATTTCTAGCCTTTTTTGAAGAATGACACATCAGTTACCCCCCCCCCAACACACCTTACACAGCAACCACGTGACCTCCAGGGCCCTCGGACCCAGCCTAAGGTTGCTGCCCCAGCCCAGGGCTGCCCAATGGGAAGGTAAAGTGAGCTAGGTCTGTGGGTGAACACTTGCCAGTAGCCACGTTACAAAAAAAAAAAAAAGGTTTAAAAAAAGAAAGGTGCCCTGGCTACTGTGGACAGTTGGCTGGGCATCAGCCTGTGCACCAAAAGGTTGCTGATTCAATTCCAGGTCAGGGCACATGCCTAAGCTGCAGGTTTGATCCCCAGTAGGGGGCATGCAGGAGGCAGCCAATGTTTCTCTCTCACTGATGTTTCTCTTTCTCTCTCCCTCTCCCTTCCTCTAATTAAAAAAATGGTAAAATTAGTTTTAATAATACCATTGATGTAACCTAGTACATCCTAAACCCCATCCTTCCAACATGGGCACTTGGTGCTCTGAGTGCCTGGCAGCCACATGTAGCATAGGCCTAACCCTGAGGATCTTCTTTTGGACACCTCCTGGTGTTCAAGAATTCCAAATGCCTTTTCGTCCAGGAAGCTCTCCTGGATGGCCTTGGCCGCCCTCTGACTCCTTTGTTCTGTCTGGTGCCTGATTTCCCCACAGATGTGCACCTTGGCCAGACTTTTCTCTACTCCTCTGCATCTAATCTGGGACTAGGAAGTGGCCCCCAATGCCCCACTGATATGCTAGTGTGAATGCCAGTGCAAGGATTGCCCAACAGGGCTAGGACACCTGACTGACCGGCTCCTGAGCTGGCTGACCCTGACCTCGTCTTTGGGTGTTCAGTCATAAACAAGGCTGCAATGGACATCTCTGTCCTGGAGCTGGAAGCCCTGATAAGGTGTTTGCTGTGGTGCTGTGTGTGACACAGACACACAAAAGACTGAGTTAGAGCATGGCCATCAATGAGGGACTGTTAACATGGCCTGTCCTGGCCCAGCACCCCTTGGGTACTGAAAGGAGCCTCTGTCTTGAGAGAAAGGACATGTGCCCAGTGGGAGACATGCCATGCACACGACTTACAGGAGTGGATACAAGACAAAAACTGTTTCGTGGCTGATGCTGGGAGGAGGACAGGCTTCTAAAATTTTTGCCAGGGAGGAGTTACTGTTTTCAGCACACATTACTTTTCTAGTTAAAAAGGTTACTTTTATGTTAAGAGAAAAAAGGTATGAACAGAAAACAACTACAGAAGGGAGGCAGGCTGTCTTCACTAAGGGCTGAGGGAGGGACAAGAGGGTAGGACAGAGACACTGAGGGGATGTCATGGCCAGGAGCTGATGGGGTGGGGGTCAGAGGATGAATCCTGACATAATCACGAGCCTGTGGGGGAACCCAGCAGGCTCCCTGAACCACAGGAGCAGGTGAGTGTGTGTGCTGCCCATGTGCACGGTATGCAAGCATGCAGCAGAGGCTGGAGGGATGGAGGAGGGTTGGGGGCTCACCCGGCGGGCCCAGTTGATGAGGTCGTCCAGCTTGGCCACCACATACTCGCCGCGGCTGCTGGGAAGTGAGCTGGGTTTGGGGACCATGGCTCCAGCCTTGGACATGGCGGGCTGTGTGCTGGGCATGAGACATGGCACAGGGAGTGTTAGCCAGGCAGGAATCCCAGGAGATGAGCACTGGCCACCCCCACAGCCTCCACCCTGGAACCTAACACAGAGCAGTTTCTCAGAGCACAGGACAAAGCTGTGGTCACAGCTGGTCCTGAAGGTAGTGCTGGGAGGAGCCATGGGGCTGGGGATTACCCTGGGGCTGTAGCATCCCAGCATCCAGGTCTGGGTCTGCTGAACAAAGGAATGAAAGACGGCATAGATGTGCCTTAGCCTGCCTTACTGTGGCCCCAAAAGGCCCCTGTCTTCCTGGGAACTCAGTTTCCCCATCTGGAGAATAGGGGCCAACTGATATTCTTCAGCAAAGGTCCTTCTGGTTTGGAGACGTGCAGCCACTAGCCTGGAGAGGGATGGACAGGGCTCCAAGGGCAGGGACCACATAGCTCTGTTGGGTGTGAGAGGGCCCTGGAGTCACCACGGGTGCTACTGTGCTGGGGGAGGGGGATGCTTCAGGGTTTTTGGGCCACTGGGGAGGCTGGCCTCACCTGCTTGGGCTGTCAGCAGCCAAACTCCCATGGACACATCGTACCTGAGCAGCTGCACCCATGCCAGAGCTGCAGAGACAGAGCATATGTGAAGAGGAGCCTGGGACATCCTGAGATGCTGTTACAGGGGCTACCCTGGAGCAGGGATGGGGAAACTGCAGCCAGGGGCCATATTCAGCCCTCTACCTATTTTTGTAAATAAAGCTTTATTGACACACAGCCACATCAATCTGTCTCTGCTGTCTGCAGCTGTTTTCACAAAGGTACAGCTGAGTAGTCTTGACAGAGATCATCTGGCCTACACAGCCAATAAGATTTATCATTAGGCCCTTCAGGAAAAAGTCTGCTGACCCCTGGGCTCTAAGGTGCCTGGTTTTCATTTTACACTTCTTTCATTTTCCCCATTTTCCATTTGTTTTATAGTGTATATGTATTTTATCCCTAGGAAAGAGACTTTATTAAAACCACACTCAGCCCAAATCTACGCCCACCTCAAAGCCCGACTTCTCTCCATTAGGACAACCCTCTCCTTAGATGTGCCATGTCCTTGGGACCCCAGGGGTTTGATTTCCAGGCTCTGTCCCTGAAGAGGCCCCGGTGGCCACCAGCCTTCCTGTCCCAAGAAGGCCTGCATGGGGCTGCCATCTGAGCAAAAGCACAGATTGCTTTCGATTATGAGTGAGTCCTGAGGGCACTAGGACAGGAGAACAAGGGTCTGAACCCAGGCTCTGACATAACATAAACTGTCACCACCGAGGGGCCTGCATACCACCTGCTGGAAAGTAGACTGACAGTCCCAGTGCTGTCCGACTTGCTGTGTGACCTTCAGCAGGCAGGACCCTGTCTGTAGTTGCTCAAGGCCCTCCCAGCTCTGAGGTACTCTGATCCCATCCCCCCCTCCCAGTCTGAGCCCTCCTTTCAGGGGCCTCTAGATGGGGGCCAGGGCCAGAGACACAGGCACTCACCACAGAGTGAGGATCGGGCGGAGCAGGCTGGGAGCTGCAGAAAGAACCACAGGGTGCAGACAGTGAGTTTTGGACAGCATCAGAGACCACAAACTCAGGAGCCTGGGTCAGCCAGGCCTTTGCCCATCAGGCCTCCTGCTTGGTGCACCTTCCCTCTGCCTTCAGTCTTACCCTCAGTCTATCTAAATTTTACTTTAACAAACGTTTGGTAAAGAGGGGTCTTTCAAAATATGAACCAGATAGTGCTAATCCTCTGCTTAAAACCCCACAGCCCCTGGAAGAAAAGCCAGGCTCTCCACACCAGGGCCACCTTCCTTTCCTCACATGTCAGGGTTGCTCCTTCCTCAGTGCCTTCCAACGTGCTATTCCATCTGCCTGGAGCACTCTGCCCCACATGTGCACACAGCCAGCCCTTCTCATGAGGCAGGTTTCACTTCTCACTGGGTTTACAGAAGGTCCTCAATCCTGTCACCCTGTTCAATCACCACCTATGCGCACTTGTGTGGTGCCTGCCTCCTTAGCAATGCTAGGGCCTCCAGGGGTTCCCCAGTGTCCCCACAGACTGAGCTGTAGGTGATGAGTGTGTGTTGAGTAAAAAAAACCCAGAGACACCACCTCACAAGACAGGCTAACTGACCCGCCCCAGACTCCTCTTCAAGCTGCCCTTCTCTGAGCCTCAGTTTCTCCACCGGAAAATTTAGGGCTTTGCATAAGCTCACAGCCCAGTAACTGCCCTTCACAGATCAGCAGACCTGTGAACTTGCATGGGAAAGAAAAATACCCTCTTTGCCAATTACTGAAAATTGGCCTTTCAATTCCGAGTGTCACCAACAAACCACAGGACCCGTATTAGCAGGACCCATGGTTTTCACCAACGGAAATCTCAGATGTTTACCAACAATGTCACAAGGGCTGTAGACATCACCCCATCCTTCAACACCACAGCAATCGGACCTGCGTCTGGATTTTGGCGTTAATAACCTGAATGAGAAACTCGTCAACCCGGTTTCTAAACAAAATCCTGACAACTGTTTGGGGTAACTGCTTTTCTTTGCAAGCCTGTGGATTTCATCCTATGCATTTACTCACTATTCTCAGAACGAAGGTCTAGGGAGCAGGCCAGGTGGGGACCCCTGCTGTACCAGTGATGTCACTTTCCTTGGGAATCCCTGCACTCCTCCGGGCCTCATGTTTCCCTGCCAGTCGAGGCTGCAATCTACAGGCCCCCTCTCCCGGGAACTTCCAAGGCTACACCGCGGGCCGAGCCTTGGCCCCCTTCAGGCCCTGCCCCAAGGCTCTCCCGAGGCTGGGGGCCCTGCGTCGCTACCAGGGCCTCAGTTTTCCCAAGGGGACCCTGACCTGGGCGCCCCTACCCGCTCACCCGCCAGCGCCGCCATCTTGGCCTCGGCCTTCAGACAACCTCTGCGGTCCGTCCGTTTTAGTGCTCCGAGTCCCCGGGGCCGTCGCCCAAAGCGGTTCGGGTGCTGTGGAAAAACGGAACCCAGGCTCGGAACGTTCCGCCGCCGTGGACGTCCCCCATGTTGTGCGCCCCCGATGCCCCACGAGGGATAAAAGGAAGGGGAGTACGCCTCCACAAAAGCGGGCGCTCCGCCCACTTTTCCCTTATCTGAGAATCAAAAGTAAAGCTGCGTCCCTGGGTGGGCTCGAACCACCAACCTTTCGGTTAACAGCCGAACGCGCTAACCGATTGCGCCACAGAGACCAAGCTGCCTACCGGCTTCAGACGCGGCCCTACGAGGCATGCGCGGCCAGTAAGCGCGGGGCGAAATACGCCTGCGCGCCCCGCTAAATGGGATAAAACGGAGACGACAGTGACACCTGCAACTCATCCCAAAAAGCTCAATTAGAAGAGCTGAACTGCAGATTGAAAGGTCTCTAGTTCGATCCGGATTTCGGAAAGCGTTTCAGAGCCCCCGGCGAGCATCGTCATCCTCTCTCTCGCCTGGTACAGTTTCTCCCTTCACCAGAATGTCTTCACTCCGCAGATGAAGAGCTGGGCTGCCACTCATGCCAACGTAGGACGGACAGAGCAAGGAATTCAAACGCCGCACTCAAAACCCCGTCCCCACCTCCAAGACTAGGATTCCAGCCTAAACGTCCCGATTTTTTTGTTTCATCAACCCGATTTTTTTAAAGCAACGATTAGTGTGTTTTTCTTAAATACTTTTATTGATTTTTAGAGCGAGGGAGAGAAATATGGATGTGAGATAATGAAAACATCAATTGGCGGTCTCCTGCACGCCCCCTAACGGGGATCGAGTCCAAAACCCCGGCATGTGCCCTGACTGGGAATCAAGACCGAAACCTCGGTGCAGAAGCCCATACTCAACCAATTGGCTACACCAGCCAGGGCAACCAGGTTTTTTTAAAGTGGTAGCATTAGAACCAGTGCTAATTGCAAAATCAAACACTACTGAACACCAAAACTAGTTTGCAAGCACACTTTCCGCTTGTATGTCGTTTCATTTTGACAATCTTGCTGGGTAGCTGTTCTGCCCATTTTATGTATGGGGAAACTGAGGCCCAATCAGGCAAAGGCAGGTGATAGAGTTGGCCTTCTAGCAGGACCACTCCCTACTCTGTGCTGTGCTGAGCAAGGCCTGGTCCCAGTTCTTAAGAAGCTCAAGGTCCCTTGGGAATGAGGGGTGTGAGGCTGGCACCAGGCCAAAACCCTGCTGCTAATGGGGTGACACACAGGAGGGAAAGAGTGGATGAAGAGGGTGGCCCAACCCTGACCCAGTAGCCTGGTTGGTTAGAGCNAGCTGCCTACCGGCTTCAGACGCGGCCCTACGAGGCATGCGCGGCCAGTAAGCGCGGGGCGAAATACGCCTGCGCGCCCCGCTAAATGGGATAAAACGGAGACGACAGTGACACCTGCAACTCATCCCAAAAAGCTCAATTAGAAGAGCTGAACTGCAGATTGAAAGGTCTCTAGTTCGATCCGGATTTCGGAAAGCGTTTCAGAGCCCCCGGCGAGCATCGTCATCCTCTCTCTCGCCTGGTACAGTTTCTCCCTTCACCAGAATGTCTTCACTCCGCAGATGAAGAGCTGGGCTGCCACTCATGCCAACGTAGGACGGACAGAGCAAGGAATTCAAACGCCGCACTCAAAACCCCGTCCCCACCTCCAAGACTAGGATTCCAGCCTAAACGTCCCGATTTTTTTGTTTCATCAACCCGATTTTTTTAAAGCAACGATTAGTGTGTTTTTCTTAAATACTTTTATTGATTTTTAGAGCGAGGGAGAGAAATATGGATGTGAGATAATGAAAACATCAATTGGCGGTCTCCTGCACGCCCCCTAACGGGGATCGAGTCCAAAACCCCGGCATGTGCCCTGACTGGGAATCAAGACCGAAACCTCGGTGCAGAAGCCCATACTCAACCAATTGGCTACACCAGCCAGGGCAACCAGGTTTTTTTAAAGTGGTAGCATTAGAACCAGTGCTAATTGCAAAATCAAACACTACTGAACACCAAAACTAGTTTGCAAGCACACTTTCCGCTTGTATGTCGTTTCATTTTGACAATCTTGCTGGGTAGCTGTTCTGCCCATTTTATGTATGGGGAAACTGAGGCCCAATCAGGCAAAGGCAGGTGATAGAGTTGGCCTTCTAGCAGGACCACTCCCTACTCTGTGCTGTGCTGAGCAAGGCCTGGTCCCAGTTCTTAAGAAGCTCAAGGTCCCTTGGGAATGAGGGGTGTGAGGCTGGCACCAGGCCAAAACCCTGCTGCTAATGGGGTGACACACAGGAGGGAAAGAGTGGATGAAGAGGGTGGCCCAACCCTGACCCAGTAGCCTGGTTGGTTAGAGCACTGTCCGGCCACATCAAGGTTGCCAGGTTTAATCCCTGGTCAGGGCACATATAAAACTCAACCAACAGACTGGCCGGCATGGCTCAGTGGTTGAACGTGGACCCATAAACCAGGAGATTGTGGTTCTATTCCCGATCAGGGCACATGCCCAGGTTTCAGGCTCCATCCCAACAAGGGGCGTGCAGGAGGCAGCCGATCAAATGACTCTCATCGCCAATGTATGTTTTCTCTCTCTCTCTCCAAAATCAATAAAACATATTTTTAAAAAAGAGACTCGCCCAGCCAGCATGGCTCAGCAGTTGAACATCGACCTATGATCCAGGAGATTGAGGTTTGATTCCCTGTCAGGGTACATTCCCCAACTGCATGCTTGAACCCCAGCAGGGGGGCGTACAGGAGGCAGCAGATCAAGGACTCTCATCATTGATGTTTCTCTGTCTCTCTCTGAAATCAATAAATATATTTTTAAAAAAAACTCAACCAATGAATGCATAAATAAATGGAACAAGTCAATTTCTTTCTCTCCAATAAAAATTTTTAAATAAATAATAAAAAAAGGGTGGCCACTCTGACACAACTGAAATTCTGACAGATGCACAAATAACCTTTCCCTGTAGTTCCCACAACTGGCCATGCTGTGCAATTGGATTTTTATATTTAAATTAACTTTATATCTTAGTTTGATTTACAGAAAAGTTACAAAGGTATTATAGTTCCAGTGTACCACACACCTGTGGTTAACATGTTACATTGATGAGATTCACTATCACAACTCCTGAACCAATGTGGATACACTGTTAAGGACACCCATCTTATTGGGTTTCCTGTTTTCCCCAAAGTTCCTGCCCTGTGAGCACAGCATCCTGGGAGCTGAGGCCCCAGCCCAGGCACATATCTGACTGAGAGAGACCTCAGGGGACCCCAGAGCCTCCCCGCCAAGCTGCTCCTGAATTTCTAACCCACAGAAATTAGAATGTTTCTAACTTTTGGGTATCTGGTGCAGTTTGTTACATAGCAATAAATAGGGGAAGAGCCTGCCTCAGGAACCCTGATCTTTGGAGAGAGTGGGGTGGGAGAAGGGAGAGAGGAGATACAAGAGGCATGAGGAGGAGAGGGAGCACAGGAAACATGGGACAGTAGAGGCTGTGAACCTGGTGCAAGGGTGACTCACGTTTATTGTGCAGACAGGCTTATGCGTCTCTGTGGCTTGAGATTCTTACTGTCAATATGCTACTTTTTAAAAATCATTTTTTAAAGATAACAGACTTGCAGAGGTGCCAATGCTATGCAATGAAATCCCCTTTCCAGAAAGTAGAAACTGTAGAAACTGGCTACTTCCCTGAGGGTGGGTTTCACTGCTCTGCTGTGGAGGCTGGTGTTGGGAGTCAACTGACCATAGGGAAGGCATCTGTGTGGTCACAGGGTGGCAGGGCGGCAGGGTCTGGATGAGGTTCAGTGGATGGCCGGGCTGGGAAAGGCAGGGGTGGAGGAAAGTGTCCAGGAGGTTCTGGGGGGAGGACAAGGGGGCAGCAGAGAGAACACAGCGGAGATGCTGGCAGCTTTGAGCAACTAGCTAGAGAAAGCCCATTGGGAAGGGATGAAGGAGGCACGGAGTCACCGCCTACACACCAAAGGTGACAGGGAAAGGTGGCAAGATCCCCATTGGTTTATGGGGGTGCTCCTGGCAAGTGGTTAGGGCCAGGGATGCTGCTCAACACCCCCCTCCAGTGCCCAGGATGCCTCCCACTCCCCACCCCCCACCCTGTGTCAGCAATGCAGAGGGGAGAGCCTGTTGTAAGGGACACAGGCTCAGCTGCCAGAACACTGGAGGGAAGCCATCACCATTGAGAATGGTGGGTGCAGGAGGGTACAGGTGGGTGGGGTGCCCCAGCTACAGCCCCACCTTGTGTTGGGTGAAGTCTGTCTTATCTTCTCCATGCTTGAGAAGCACCTGAGCAGCACTGGCTTCCCCAGGGGCAGTGGCCACCTCTCAGGCCTTCTAGGGCATTTCTCACTTAGCAAGTAAACTGGCTGGGACTTCCTGAACTACTGCCACCATCCATTCTGAGGAAGAATAGACCCCCACCCCCACCACCCTAACAGCCACCTTGCCTCAGGACAAAGTTTGAATACAAACACCCTTAGAATCCACAAAAACATAGCAAGCATTGAAAACACCTGTTGGGACGTGGGACCAGGATGTGGGTTAGAAGCCTCCCCAGATGGGGCCAGGTTTGGACCCTACAAACTCCAAGCCCACCTGAGGGAGACCACATGCAGAGCCCAGGAAAGCAGTCAGAGCTCCAAAATAGCATTTACTTCCAGTCTGAATGGTTCAAGTCTACAAGCACAGCCTTGAAACACAGTGAAGATCAAAGAAATAGGAATTTAAAAAATACTTCACAATGATGAAATAGCCCCATGTGGGCCAGTTTCCATGGGGCCTCATGGACATCTGTGACCCAAGAGAGCAGCCAGTGTATTTGCACATCGGAGACTTGCTGTCAGTAGACAGTGCTGTCAAACTTTTCTGGAACGGAGGTAGGGCCATTGTGGCAGTGCTGCTGGTGCCCTCCGGTGTGGGGTAGAGGGCTCTCTGTCCAAGAAGAGTGACTGGTGCAGGGCCAGGCTTTTAGGCATC